GTAGGAATCAACTTATTGTTTTCATTACGTACCACTGTGATCCCACCTTTCTTTGGAACTGTTTGTACCGGACTCACCCATCAATCTTCTCTGTGGTTGTCTGACTGGCTTCAACTCATTCTCCATCAATATTTTATGAGTGCAAAAAGATGGGTTTATTCCTTTCAAGTCTGTAATAGACCATCATATAGCTGTTCTGTCCTCTCTCAACACTTTCAATAATTTTTCTTCTTCGGCGGTTGATAAATTTATGTTGATGATCACCAGGTATGTCTTGCTTTCTCCAAGAAATGCATATTTCAAAGTGGGAGGAAGTTCTTTCAATTCAACCTTTGGTGCACCTGGAATGATATCATCAACTTTCTCTTCTAGCTTTTCAACCTCTTGTTCTCCTTCTGTTGCTTCAGTCGTATTGTGCAGTAGATCTTCTTCTAATGACTCCAATTCCATCAGTGGTTGGAGTATTTCATCAACTGTATCTAGCACTGCATCATTGATCACATCAACCTTGAAGCAATCTCCTCCGTCGGAAGGATGTTTCATAGATTCAAGAACATCAATCGTTACGGTTTCATCATTAACCCGCAACATCAGCTTACCCTGCTCCACATCAATCATAGCCCTTGCAGTGGCTAAAAAGGGCCTTCCCAACAGTAAGGGAATCTCAGCATCCTCTTGCATGTCTAAGATGACAAAGTCTGCAGGGAATATGAACTTATCAATCTTCACCAAGACATCTTCAATAACTCCATCTGGCCTTCTGGTAGATCTGTCTGCTAGCTGCAGTGAAACTTTGGTCGGCTTTAATTCATGAATCCTCAGAGCCTTGCAGATGGATAATGGCATAAGGTTAATACTAGCTCCCAAGTCACATAACGCCTTTCCCACATCAATGTTGCCAATTTCTATGGGAATGCTGAAACTTCCAGGATCTTCAAGTTTTGGAGGCAACTTTTTCTGAATTATAGCACTACATTCTTCCGTCAACGTCACCGTTTCACATTCTTTCAGTTTACGTTTCTTCGATAAGAGATCTTTCATGAACTTTGCGTAATTCGGCATGTTCTCCAAGGCTTCAGCAAATGGAATATTGATTTGTAGCTTTTTGAAGATGTCAAGGAACTTCGAATACTGCTGCTTTTTGATTTCCTCTCTGAACCTCTGCGGATATGGAATTTTTGCATAAGGTGAGAGCTCCAATGGCTTTTCTTGTCTTTCTTGAGCTTTCTTTTTCTCCCATTTGAACTCTTTCTTTTCAGGAACAGCTTTCTCTGCAGCAGGCTCTTTGTCAACTTCCTTCTCTTTTTCTTCTTCAATGGCAGATCCCTCAGCTTTCTTTTTCTCTACTGAAGGCTTAATCACAGGTTCAATTACAATGCCACTTCTAGTGGTAATGGCCTTGCAGTGTGCGTTTGGATTAACGTCTGTATTACTTGGGAAGGTGCCTTGGGTTCTTTCGTTGAACTGCCTTGACAATTGACCAATCTGAGTTTCTAGATTCCGGATTGAGGCTTCTTGATTCCTGAATGAGGCCCTGGTTTCTTGCATAAAGGCTGAAGTGTCTTCCCTGAATGCATTGGTACTTTGAACATAGTCTGATGTGGTTTTGGATAGTTGTGCAAAGGCCTTCTCCCACTCTGATTGTTGTGGAGGTTGTTGTGGTGCTGGCATAGGAGGATTTAGCTGATGATTCGAGCTATAACTGAATCCTGGATGTTGATTTTTATTTCTCCACCCTTGATTCTGGTTATTGCCGTATTGGTTCCTCCCTGGGTTATATGGAACTTTCTGATCATGCCAAATTCCATTAACATCTGCAGTTTCAGGTGCCTTGCAGTCTTCAGTAGCATGAGCACCTGCACAAATACCACAAGTTATTTGAATATTATTAATAGAAGAGACTTGAGAACTGGTAAATTGCTTTGTGAGAGCATCTAGTTGTTCTTGTTGTTTCTTGTTAATTTGTAAAATCTGTTCATTCTGAGCTAAGATGGCATCATAGCCATCAAGCTTCATAATCCCCGCTCTTCTCTGTGGTACTGGAGCATTATCATACTCCTGAGAGGCTAGAGACTCTAGTAATTCCAAGGCTTCCTCTGGAGTTTTTGTTTTTAAGGACCCTCCTGATGCGGCATTCACCAATGTTCTTGTGTTCGGCGTCATCCCTTGAAAGAAGGTTCTCGCTTGCTCCCAAGCTTCAATGCCATGTTGGGGACACTTCCTAAGTAGTCCTTTGAATCTTTCCCATGCTTCATATAGAGATTCACTTCCTTTTTGTTCAAAAGAAGTGATATCCGCCTTGAGCTTTGCCATTTTCGAAGATGAGAAAAATTTGTCCAAAAATTTGTTTGCCAAGTCGTCCCAGTGGGTGATGCTTCCTTGAGGTAACGATTGCAACCATCCTCTTGCTTCGTCTTTAAGTGAACAGGGGAACAATCTGAGAAAAATAGCATCCCGAGACACCCCATTCATCTTCAAGGTATCACAATATAGCAAGAAGTTTTCCAGATGGATGTAAGGGTATTCCGTGCTTCCTCCGGCAAATTGGTCTTTCTGAATTAATTGTAAAAGTGCCGGCTTGAGTTCAAAGTTGTTAGCATCCACGTTTGGTCTAACAATACTCGCCGTCTGTGGAACTCGAGCAGGAGTCATGTAATCTCCCAACGTTCTCGGAGGTGGTGGAGGTGCATTGTTGTCTCCCATTGCTTCTTCTCTTGGTTCTGTTGAGCTTGAAGCTTCTTTCTCTTGCTGTCTTCTTTCTTTAGCAAGTTTTCTGTTTCTTTTTGCTGTTTTCTCTATCTCCGGGTCGAATTGCAAGGAATCGGTGTCAACGGTACCTCGCATAAACCAGAAAAATAGATTATATAAAATAAGAAAATAAAACTGAATTTAAATAACAGAAAATTAAATAACAGAAAATAAGGTCCAATCTAAAGAATTAATAGCTACTATTAATGTTGAAATAGTAATCCCCGGCAACGGCGCCAAAAACTTGTTGCTACTCACGGCAAGTGCACCGATCGTACAAGTAATATATGATTAAGTAAGAGATCGTTCCTACGAGGATTACGGTTCAAGCACTAATTCACTATCGCAAACTTAGTTGGACAATCGAAAGTGTATTTGGAAACAGGATTTGAATTGCAAAATTAAAATATTAAATATTAGGCTAATTACTTGCAAGAATTAAAGACAAGAAATTAAAGGTGTGATTTAACTAATAAAATAAAAACGTAGCTAGGGGTTCGATTTCCTTTAATCTCCTTATTATGATTCGAAGTCCTTCTTTACGTTAATCGTCCTTAATATCAATCTAACCAATTCTTTCGCGTGTTATTAGAGCTCAATCCCTTGTTACCCTAAAACCTTTACAAACTTGAAAGAACCCTAGTTCCCCGGTTATTCCCCAAGAATGCAAGCATTAAGTTCAAGAATCTTAAGGTTACGCAAATTCTATGTCTATCCCTAGAATCATAGCGTTTACGATGAAGTTATCAGGTATGGATCACACACCAACATCCCTATTGTCATGCATTCACCGATGATCATTATATAAGATTCAAGCCTATATAAAGCATTAAAAACAGATAACTTCATTCATGATATAAAGGAAAATTAACACAGCGAATTGTTCAAAACATAATAAATTGACTAAAATCTATCTAACCCTAACTACTTAAAGAACTAGCCGGACATAGCAAAATCAAGAACAAAAGAAAATAGAAAAGCTCCCCCAAACTCCATAAGTGATTGGTGGATCTTCAATATCTCCAGTGAACACTTGACGTTGATCCGTCTCTGCTGCTCACGAACATGAATATGATGTTCCTCCGCGTTCCTTCAGCCTCCAAGCACCCAAAAGTTTTTTTGCAATGTAAAAGTTCTGTATTTATGTTCCCCAATGGCCCTTTTATTGACCAAGAGTTCGTATCCTAGTAGAAAACTCGAATGGGCCTAAGTTGGATCTGTCGGGGCGCTTAAGCATGTTGTAGCGCGCTTAAGCGCCCTAGGACAGTGATTTTTGACTCGCGTTGCGCGCTGAAGCTCTCTGAAAGGCGCTTCAGCGCGCTCCTCGCGACAACTTTTTCTTCTTGTGGCGCGCTTAAGCCCTGAGTTGGGGGCTTAAGCGCCCAGAGGCAGTAGCTATTTGCGTTTTTAGGGAGCTTAAGCTTCTGAATGGGGGCTTAAGCTCCCACTTCTAACAACTTGATAAGATCTTCAATCTTATTGTTTTTGATCTTCTTCTATCATCTCTTGATCTCATCTTTTCTAGTTGTGATCTCTATTTATCCAATCTTCATCTTTGACTCCTTTTGTCAACAAATCCCTAAAAAATAGCAAAGATGATTCCATTAAACAAAAATTCAGATAATGTTCATGATTATTATATTAAACCCTAGTTTTTGACTTATTTAACTTGATATTTTATATTAATTTAGTCTATAAAATAAGATAAACTAAAGGTTTATCATGGAGCAATATACTCGAATGGGTCGACGAAGAATGCAATAAAGTTGGAGCTCCATACCTCATTTTCAAATGCAGAGTAGAGGAGACAAGGGTTGGACCAGATTTAATAAGCTATGGGTTTGGAAAAAGAAACTCGGTTGGAAATGAATCTTGTCTCCTAATATTGTCCAAACTGTATCGAAGAATGGTGCATTTGGCAGAGGTTGGAAATGACTCATATCTGAAGCATTCAAGTTCACGGGGACAATGAGAAAGAGAAGGTGAGGTTGAAGGGGGACCGAATTAGAGAGACGAGGTTGAGAGTTTGAGTGAACAAAAGGGATTCTAAATGAACATGGAGGGTAGAAAAAAATAATTAAAGATTTCAGAAAAAAAGCGGGGAAGTGAAATTTTTCGAGGGAATGAAAATTCAGAGTAAATTTTTTTTACCAAATTACTAAACATTGACTCTGTATCCTAGTATACTAGCACGGTTAGCATCACGCGTCGTGAAAACAACTGTAGAATTCCTTCAGAGACGGTTAAGGCCAAACCGACATAAATTGACCGACGTGAGATCCCCTTTTTCTAGTAGTGGAAACTTAAAAAAAAGGAAGTGCACTGGTTTAGAAGCTTCGTTTCTAGTAGGGGTGTTCGCGGTCTGGATTGGATCGGTTTTGGAAGGAAAAATCATCCGATCCAATCTCTTCGGTTTGATCATGTCATCATCCATTCGGTTTGGATTTTTTTTCAAATCCGATCCGATCCAATCCAGTTTTTTTCGGTTTGGATTGGATCGGTTTTCGGTTTTTTGAAAATCTTAAAATTTGTTTTATAATTATTGTGCAAATAACATTTTTTTGTATAATAGGCTTTGTAAAAAAAAATTAAACAGAAAAGTAAATGATAATATAATTTTTTTTTTGGCAATAAGATATGAAGCTTTACACAAATAAATTTTTGTTGATGAGATGTGACTAGGTTTTTTCTTGGGTTTAGTTGATGGGTTAATAGGTCTTGGGTTTAAAAAAATTTTGGCTATGATGGGAGGAAAGACCCAAGTAAGTAGAGGTGAATTAATATATTGGATCGGTTTTCATCAACCCATCCAAAAACCGATCCAATCCAATTAAAATTTGCGGTTTTTATTCGGTTCTCGGTTTCTCGGTTTTTCGGTTTTCGGTTTATTCGGTTATCGGTTTTTCGGTTCGATTACTGCGGTTTGAATCGGTTGATGAACACCCCTAGTTCCTAGACAGGAATCGTATATATATATATATATATATATATATATATATATATATATATATATATATTGGTCAGAAACCTTTGCGTAACAAATTCTTTTGAACTTTGTAAAATGTGTTTTTTGTTATAAGATAGCAAATTTTGGATGGGCACGTAGGGATACGAGAATGGAGTTAGCACTATAAGAAGCTACTATTACACTCAAGCCGGGTTTGACTCTTTAAGAATGGTCCCGCCACTTTTCTTTTTCTTTGTCTCAGTTCAGAGATCGAAGAGGAGATTTGTTCCGAATCCCGAACATCTCAGATTTGTTTATATCATACTATGATCGAGGAATATAAAAAATGCAACCCACCTTTCTTTTCAATCTTCGACGCTTTGAAACTCAAGTGCATGTGCTTATTACGCACATACGCAAGGATGTCTTTATGTACATATATGGTGTAATATATATGAAAATTGAAGTGCAATTTCACTGAATGATATCAACAGATTATGGAATCTTTTATTAGGTCACGACAAGTTAATGTCATTATTGTTAGGCCTAACTCTCAATCAATTTCATTTACTTAAGTATTTTGTTAATATATATCGTTAGGGCATATGTAAGGGATCAAAAATAAAAATATTGAATAAAAAGTATGAGTATTTAATATGTTCAAATAATGCAATTAAGTCTAAATACATTTATTTGAGGAGAAATTTATTGAATTTCTATCTTACTCTTTCAAGTTTAAATATCTTTATAGTACTGATAATTTAATTTTCAAAATTAATTACTCTGGATTTGTCAAAATTGTAGAAATTTCATTTAATTGATTCATTTAAATTTTGGTATAAATCTCCCCATATCTAGAACTAGAAGCCACTTCGGGTCCCGGTTAATTTTGAATTGAGCCAATGGACCACTTCAAGGCCTAAACTGGAAACATAAATTGCATGTTATTTTATTTTTTTGAAATATTTCAATCGGTTCATCGCTTCGCGACAAGTCTGATTCGAGGCGGATACAGGATTAAGGCTTTAAACTCCTTCCAAATGTGGCACTGAGGAGAATTGAACACATGCTCTCTTCTCTCACCTACTCAGCTCTCATGCGCCAACTGAACTACCACCATTTGATTACTGCATGTTATTTAACAGACAAATATTGCTAATTGATTCGTTTAATTAGTTGGTTGATTATTTTTTATTGAAAAAATATTTTTCATTTTAAAGAATACAACTTTGTATTATTTTAGATGAAATGACAATTTTTTGGTGCAAAATTGGTATTTTTTATATTCTCTCTCCTCCATTTTCTATCTTCCTAATTTTATGGAGAAGAGAGAATATAAAAAATCACTAAATATATACTAAAATAACATCGTTTTATATAAAATGACACAAAGTTATGTCTTTTAAAATGATAAATATTTTTTCCATTTTTATTTATTTATTTACTGAATTAAAGATTATTGCAATTAGTATTAGAGTAATTAATTGATTTTTGAAGATTAAATGTTTAAAAAAAGAGAAATAGTTTATGGGAGAGATCCACTTACCACCAAAAAAGTTTACAACTCTTACAACTAATTTAATCACCGTTGATTTCCGTCAATCTAACGGTTATAATTTATTGAGAATTAATAAATGTGACACAATAAATGTTATTAATTTATAACCGTTAGATTGACGGAAATCAACGGTGATTAAATTGGTTGTAAGAGTTGTAAATTTTTTTGGTGGTAAATGGATCCGTTCCCATAGTTTATAATATAAACTTATTTTGAAGAAAAAAATAATTAAGGCCAAGACTTACGTGCAAAATATTTAATTTATATAATATATTAGACTAGATTATTAGATAGCAAACCTTGTTTTATAATGGGTTGATTGTTTTTTTCTTCTTATTTTATTTATTTTGACAGAAGGTGAGTCCAGAGTAGTGGTAATGGAATTTTCCTCATTCTTACTCTCGTTAGTGAAATTTAATGGGAAGAGATTTTTATTCCATTTTGAGGGTGGATGGGATTTGGTGATAACATCATTTTTATTGTTACTATCAATTCCATAGGGACCATACATCGAATGGATTCTTGGTTGCGTGACATTCTCTTCCCCTCAACAATGTGCTGAATCTTGTTTTTTCTAACAACCTCTAATCTTCTTGAAAGTGACAAAGATATAATATCTTTTAAGCTTTTAGTTGGTATATAGATAACGTGTCCTACCAAGTTCTATCATAGACACACAAAAAATGGTCCATTGAAAAGTATTTAAAAATTTTAAGAATATGGAATTTTCAAATTCGCAGTTTCAATTTCAATCTGAACAATCTTTTAGGCAATTACAAAGCCTAATAGCAGTTTTTTGTGCTTTTCATGAATACTGCAGGCAGCTATATAATAGATTCGTACCTCACCAAAAAATATAATGGATTCGTAACCATATTCCAAATTTTACATACATAAGTGCCATATAAAGACAATGCTTTTGAATACAAGCCTATGATATATGGATATACACATGTATATGCATTCATAATTTCATATGCTCAGTTTCCTGTATCTGGCTCAGGACCATGATAACACTGTTGTTGCAGGTGCGCAGAAAATGAGTTCAGTATAGAACAACGCCAAAATTCTGCGCTGGATTTGTACCCGTCATTTGACAATGACTTCCCAATTCAAAACTAACGGCGTGATCTCCATCACCGTGTCACTTCGATGAACCTATCGAATGGCAAGAGAAGCAGCTATACGTATATATAGTCACAAAAATCCATCTCCCATTTTGCACCGTTAACTTTGTGTGTACAAAATCATACCAAAGTCACATGAAAAACTCAATACGAGTTCACAAGAAATCTGTTTCTTTATAACAACTTTTGTCCACTTCAACACTTTTTTTCTTCTTTTTCAAAATTATTATTTCTCAACTCTTTTTTTCTTATTTTTTCTTTGTCCACTTCTGCTTCTTTAGAAGATCATACATGTAAAAATACGTGATATTCATTTTTTTTTCTCTCTTTTCTTTTGATGACCCACACATTTTTACCTGTGTATAAAAAATATTAGTCTCTTTAATCATTGGGTTTTCATTTTGTCCTTTAACATGACATGGTAAAAGTTTCTTACACATACAATATTTTGTGGGACCTGCATTTTTTGAGGCAAAAAAAAAAACTAAGACACATAAAATAAATCTCAGTAACATGACACAATCACTCTTCTTATAAGATAACTCTTATAAAACTCAACATTTGCAAACGAAGCTCCAACAAGTTACCCAGACGGAAGTCTATGTGTCATAAATGACTTATAACTCTTATAAAACTCAACATTTGCAAACGAAGCTCCAACAAGTTACCCAGACGGAAGTCTATGTGTCATAAATGACAAGATGCCGTTGAAGAAAAAGCATTACCTAATGGTGCTGACCTCATTTTCTTCTACTATATTCATACGTGTTATATTTATTGATTACTATAAACAATGACATGTTTCCTGAGCAAAACTATGTTCAGATTGAGAAAGAGAGAAAAAGACTGTCTATCGCAGTGAAAGCAACTGAGGATTTACTAACATTTAGGCATTTAGCCGCATAAATATTATAAATGGATCCATCAGACATAATGAGTTCACCAAACCACAAAAACACAGTATAATTACGACTAAAATAGGAATTTCCTGTTATCAAAAAAAAATAAATAGGAATTTCCAATCCATGTCCTACTAGGGTTGCTCCCGGTCTATTTTGAAGCAAAAATTATTCAATTTAATTCTTTTGATTTTATTATTTAACTATTCATTTGATTTGAATTTTTTTTTAAATCTAAACAAATCCAATTTTATTTGGTTTAGATTAAATTGATTTTTGATTTTTCAAAAAGTCTAAAATTTAAGCCTATAAATCATTAGTTATATCAAAATAAAATTATACAAAGTTATAAATTACCGAAAAATTCAATTCTTCGAACTAAAACAAATTTTAAAACTTATGAAGAGCTAAAATAGATTAATAAACAATAAAAAAACTAAAACAAAATAATTTATTATCAATACCATCGAAAATTCAAATCTACAAAATAACAAGATTTTAAGTCATCATCTTTTAAAAATAATAAATACATAATACATTAGATCGGTTTAGATTGGATCTATATTCACTAACCAAACTAAAAACCAATTCAATCCAACTAAAATATGCAATTTTTTTCTATTTTTAATTTTTTGGTTAATTGAGTTATCAATTTTTTGGTTCGATCACGGTGATTTGAATTTGTTGATAAACACCCGCATGTCCTACTACGCTCAGAGGGAAACAGAAAGTGACAATTTGAAGTATCCCTCACACGCTCAATTCGTGTGACCTCTAACACACTTGAACACAACGACACACAGACTGTGTAATATAGAGAGAAAACCATGGAAGTGATCACTATTTCATAAAAAAAACAAAGTGAAAATTTAAAGTCACTTTAATGCTACCAGGTTTACGTACAATTTACTCAACATTAAATCAAGAGTTTGCAGAGAAAGATGAACCTCATCTTCACATTAAACAAATGGCGGACTCAGGAAATTTTGTAAGGGACAACAAAATTGCGAATATATTCTTCTATGTAAATTACAATTATCCCTGTGACAAAAAAAAATGAAAATACTACTTATAATTAAGGATTTATATGAACTTGAAGGGACGATTATTATCTATATAATAAAAAAAAAAAAAAACAATGTTGTTCATTTAAATGAACTTAATAAGGGCGATCGACTATCTTAACCCTTCGAATTCTTTGCTAGCTCCATTAAAGGAGAAGAAGAAGAAGATGAACAAGAATTAGTAAATGCAAGATCAACCAATAAATCAACAAAAGCATTAACAATAAAACCATGATTGTTTTTATCATTGGCCTTCAAATACCAAAACAAAAGGTCCTCGAGACTCTCCCAGTCCTTGAAGCCATGAGTCTCAACAATCTCCTCCATGGACTTTCTGAAATCCACGTAAGGGTCATGTGAATCCATTGACATCACCACGCTATCTTTGAATGGCGAGGTTCCAGAAGAAGCTTTTGCTTCAAACAAGGTTCTTGTCTCATCTGGCTCGAAGAAAAGTCGATCTGAACGCAACCCACGAATCAATGTCTCGATTGAATCCACGCCTCTCGAGTCCTCAGAAAACGTTGAGAAGCTTCCACACTCTTCGGTGAAAAACGATTCAGGGCTTTCCATGGTGGCGTCTAAGAAGGCTGAGTTAATGGTTTTGAAAACAACGCCGTTTTTGGCTCTGAAAGAAAGGGTTTTCGGTTGGCGACAAGGTGGCCAAGCCCATGATGATGATGATGAAGAAGAAGAAGAAGAGGATCTTACATCTGTGTTCTTGAGAAGAGAAAGAAACTTCATTTTTTTTTTTTTTTTTGGGTTTTTTTGTTAAAAGTTAATTACATTGAGGGTACTGGAAAATCTGGGTACATATGAGTTTTTGAGGTTTCGATTTGTGTGTTAAGGTATTCATTAATGGCAAATCAGAGAAGGGTTGTGAGGGAAAGATTTGAAGTAGCGGTGGGACAATTTGGCGAAGTTGAATACTTATCATAAGGGCTGGTTGGTGGGGTCAACTCAATATATCTTCCTATATTAATTTTTTACAGGCTTTAGAAATGAATGAAATTCAGTCCCATTTATTATACTTGTGTTTTCTTTTGTTTTTTAAGTCAACATTCAAATTTCTACACTTTGGGGCACTAAATATAATAAAACAAAACAATATACAAATATTAAATATAATATTAAACTAATACAATAATAAATTGAACATTTAATTTTCATTGAATTTGATGGGGAATAAGTGTAACTGATCTTTTTCTTCCACTTTTTTCAAACACACCCTGGCAGTCAAGAACTTTATAATTATATTCATAAATTGAGTTCAAATGAAGTAACTCTATTCTTTTGTAGTTCTTTTAAAAAATTATAGTATTATATATTTGTTTAATATTTAAAGGATATTTATATATACTTAAAGAGTTGATCATTTCTGCTGTTATTGTAGATAGAAAAAGTTGCAGCAAACATATTTATATTAGGATACGGAGTCAGATCCAGAAATAAAAAAAAAAAAATTTTCTGATCTGCAGCAACAACATAGCTTTTAAAGCCATACTTATCTCCACCTCATCACGTACGTACATATGAGTCAAACCCAAATGAGTTTGAATGCTTAATTGAATTGAATGCTTTGTTATTTTAATATTACGAACGAAGTTTTGAAATGCATCTTTAATATTTTGCCTAAACCGGTTCAAGAAGGTGAAGAGTATACATACTATAACACCATGGATCAGATTCAGATAGAAAGGACGCTTTCGAGTTTAGTGAACCAAAATTTATTCAAGGCTTTACTTTTATTTACCTATGAGGTGTTTGGTTGAGGAGAAATATTATGAATGCTAGAAAAATGTTATGTAAATGGGGGAAGTGAGATGGTAGGAAAATATAAGAAAAAGTTGTTTGGTTGGAAAAAAAATTTACAGGAAAAATTAGGTAACTTTTGTAAAGTCTATGTTTGGCTGTAAGTAACATATAGATGGGAAAATGCAGTGGGTATTACAAAATTAACCCTGACTGCATAAATTTTTCCATCGTATGCAACAAGACCAACCAGTTTCGCTATGCTTCTTGCGTTTTCTGCTCTCACCTTCTTCGCTATGGCAGACCCATCACGCTTTCACCACCATTCTCCCATCATCTTCACCTTTCATCCCAACCACTCCATCACCCTCACCTGGTTAAGTTTTCTTTTCTTTCATTATTATTTACCCCACAAAAAAATCATTTTTTTATTCGTTTTAGCTGCAATATGTGTTGAGATATATAGTCCCACATTGATTGTGTGGACAACTAATGTGGCCTTTATAAGGCCTTGGGCACTCCCACCCTTTGAGCTAGCTTTTGGAGTGATGTATCCCAAGGTTCTTTACAATATGAATATAAAGTTCATTGCTTTAGTTGTTGTTGGTGTTAATCAAGAAAAACCAGCGTCAGATAACTCTGCAAAAGATGGTTCTGGTCAAGGAAAAGAGTCTGGAGGGGAAAATGATCAGAAAAGTGATGATGGGAAACTTGCTCGTGGAGGGGTACGCTGATCTTTTTTTGGTATAGTCAGTGAGCAAATATGGAGCCACTCCACAATACCACCTTGCAAAAGGGTTTCTGGAGCCACTCCATAATACCATCTTGCAAAAGGGTTTCTGTGGCCGGCAAAATCAGTACAAATAGATAGAGAAATAGGAATGCCTTGAATCAGAGCTAGCTAGCTAAGTGAAGAAATCCAACACACTAAACGCTGGTTTCTTCCTTTCCCATTTGTCATTTATCTATCATTCTGTTGAGAATCCTTCAACCAATTAGTTTTCTAGAGTATCAACTTAGAATTTAAGGGGTCTGTCAGAACAAGTTAATTGGAGGGAAGATAAACGAAATTCAAAAGTACCTTATATATATATATATATATATATATATAGGGAGCAAGATTCTTTGACACTGGTATCAAATTTTAAAATTTGACACTAAATCTTTTTCGTTGATTTCCGCCAATCAACCGTTATCATTTATAGAGAATTAATATTAATTAATAAGTTTGATTCTCAATAAATAATAATCATTGATTGACAGAAATCGATTGTTAAGATTTGGTGTTAAATTTCAAAATTTAACATCAGTGCTAAAAGATCTTATCTCATATATATATATTATATATATATATAGGGGCAGGATTCTTTGACACTCGTATCAAAATTTAAAATTTGACACTAAATCTTATCCGTTGATTTCCGTCAATCAACAGTTATCATTTATAGAGAATTAATATTAATTAATAAGTTTGATTCTCAATAAATAATAATCATTGATTGACGGAAATCAATGGTTAAGATTTGGTGTCAAATTTCAAAATTTAACATCAGTGTTAAAAGATCTTATCCCATATATATATATATATATATATATATATATATATATATATATATATATATATATATATATATATATATATATATATATATATATATATATATATATGGATCCAGATTATTTTACACTAATGTAAGTTATACTCTTAATCTTTATCATTGATTCTATTTTGTCTAAAAGACAGAGATGTCCAGCCGATAGCTGGTATATTTTATGTAGGATCTATGTGCCCTCTCTCAGGTATCTCAGGTATCTATGAATGAGATACCTTTGATGGTAGGCTGATCATTGTGCACAATAATAATCGACATAGTCAAGACGTGAGGTGTGTGCACAGTGACAAGCTAAGAGAGAGGGTTCTTAGAGTGTGTGTACCTTATTGGTTTAACCTCTTATTTATAGATGGGTTACCTGATAGGAGTGTACTTCTGGGCCTCTCAGGAATATTGGGGTTTAAGTCCAACTGCTTAGCTGTCTGGATAAGATTGTCATTAATAAAAAAATTTCTTCCTTTTATGTTGTCCTTTGTTGGTTCTTTTAAAATATGAACCTTTGTCAAATCCATAACAGATTCTATTTATATATAACGGTTTTAATTTATTATATATTTGAGCGATACAAGCAAATCATAGATGAAAATTTGGTATAAGAATTTTCGTTCTTGTTGAGAAGTGTTTCTCAAACAAATGTTACATAATGTTAAGATATAGAGCTCTTCACGTGCCTCACTCACCAAAACCAACCACGGAGCAGATGGAGACCCTTAACGAGAGGCACGGAATTAGAAATAGACTTAGTGAGAACCAACCAAATAAAAGAGGTTTCACCAATGGCAGAATACCCTTCTTTTCTTCTTTATTTTGTTCCTACATCCTAGATTTTCACATTTACTTTTTTTTTTTTTTTTTTTGTGCGTACCAAACCTCCACGTACGTATTGGTCAGATTCAAATTAAATATCTCTGTTTCTCTAACTATTTCAAGAGTTGATATCAAGATGGGGTGAATATATGAGATAATCTGACTTTGGCAATTGAATCATTTTTGGTACAATAGTTAACTCATTAAAGTCATGAGTCAACCGAGTAATAACTGTATTTACGGTCAAAGAATAATAATAATGAACTTTTAAAAAATATCATAATAAAGTCAATAAACATTTGAATCTTATCTGACCAATTAATTGATAGCCATTTTATTTAATATATTTATTATGTTATACATGTAATTAATATCATGTTATATGGATAATGTAATACTAATATAATTTATTAATACTTTTTTTAATTCCTTCACTATCTCCACGATCATTCTCTCGAATTCAATGATGGACAGATTTTAAAAAAAATTATGTCCAAAGTGTTACACAGACATTTATGAAGGAGACCTCCAACTTAATTTTTCTTCCGAGCCCACTAAAAATCTCATTATTTTTAAGAGAATTTTGTTGTATAAATTAATAAAAAAAATTTATAAAGGTAAGATTATATATAAAGATTGCGATTATCCCCTACTCTACTCTCGTCACCTGGAGTATAATAGGGAATGATTTTAACATAATAAAAAGTTGTGCAATATGAATATTTGTTTAAACATTTTATCTTCTGATAAAAGAAAATAGAAATACGCTGTTATATATGTTAAATTTATAATATTTTGTTATAAACTCCGGTAGATTTTAGTTTAGAGAACTGTAACGGGATTTTTTTTTCTTTTCATTTTCTTTTCTTTCTTCATCTTGGAATACAAGCTTCAATCTCCTCTTGCTTATTAAGGAAATACCAAAATCTGAAAATTTATATTCCTTATAGAAGATTGGAAAAATCACATGAAAAACAAACAAGCAGGAACAAAAAGTAACGGGAAAGATAAGCAAGTAAAGGATTTGCATGATTTGAGGCAATTCCATTGATTGATGTTTTACTACGTTCTATAAAAATTTTGCAACTACCAAGAAAAAAAATTCTAATTAACCACGTTTAATGTAACGGATGCATGTTTGGAGGTAAGCCCAATTCAAGCTTTAGAGGAGAAGGCTAAACGGGCCCGCAAGCAGCCCACCTATTTAAAAGACTATGAGACTAGTTGAGGATATGGGGTTCTAGTAACTATCAGCTTTATTATGTCATTTTATAACTTTTGAATTACGGTAGTCTTATTTTGGATTGGTGGCCCATTAGTAATAGGGCACTATATGATGACTTTGATTTAGGGTAATAGTAAGCAGAAGGTGATTCACCTTCTCTCTCCTTATTCTCTCTCTCCTCACGTTCCCTTTCTTCTCCTCGTCTACCTATTCTTCCCTGGAGATCTTAAATTGTTGCTACATTTGGTGCTCTCGTTGCTGATTCAACCTCTCATACCATGGCTGAAAACACTCGGATGCGGGATGTAACTCAACAACTGGAGACATTGGAACAACAAACTCACCGCTTAGACATGCTGGAACAGCAATTGCGTTCAGCTGAATTAGTACGTGAACA